GGCGTTTGACACAAAACATGCAGCGCGGATGCTTATATCAAACACTACGCAGGAGAGATGTGAGACTTTACACAAGTTGAGTAAGAACTGCACACGCAATTGGCAGAGTTCTCCAAAGACTGAAAATGAATAATAAAGAAGGTACTAATGACTATATGTAGATATAAATGCAAAAACTACTTTGCATAAACGACAGAGTCGATTTCTCAGATGAATTTTATTTTTATGAAGGCCCTAGAATTAAGATTTACCTACATGAAGATTTATTATGATTGATTCAGTTGAAAATGTTCATGGATGGATCAATACCTATTTTGGTTTCATGGGGCCACCGAACAGCCAATTGCAGCGAATAAACTGTAATGTACATCTGGCGTGCAATATCTTGTGTTATGGATATAGGTGCCAGTAGTTCCAAAGCGAGATTTAACAGATGGTAAGGGTTTCGAGGTATGAAGCTCAATGTCCGAAAGTGGAAACTGCTAGAGGACATGCGATCTTTTTTCTGGAAAATTTGCCTTACATTTTCACTACATTACTCTACAGACTTTGGATTATGACGACATCGATTCCACCGTTATGGTGCAGGGTATATTTTCGTCCTACAATAGTAAAAAACGTTTGCCGCGCAGATACCCACTGTGAAGACAGGCCCCACAGTAAGGGAAAGGATGGCAAGAACGCAGGAGGCTGCGACGAACGAAACAGTTGCTGAAAAAGAACAAACTGCACGCTCGTAACGAACTAGGAGATAATGCAAGTGCATATTTACACGACGGGCGAGCATTAGGTGTTGCCAAAGATTTCCTTAGACCCCATTCCGTAAACACCGAGCTCAGTTCGGCTCCGCTTTCTTTGGCAAAACCCGGTCCTGTTAGCAAAATTGACGCGAAAATCTAGCACAAGGAGACACAGGAAGTGAGACTGGCTGACTCCTCTCCCTTCTCTCCGGCCGGTCATGCACCCTTCTATATTTCGCAGGCTTACGCGATGTGCGGTTATTCAAGTCCGACGAAACAGCCACACCATCACACCTCTCCTCGGGTGATTCCCGTAATTCGAAGTGCAGGCAAGTCCAGCGTGATCTTCAGCCTACGTGCTTATTTCCACTTATTAGATGACTGTGTCGAGTGAACAACATCGGCAATTCCGAAAGTTGATGAAAATGTTACGTACTTACACGTGTTATGCATAACCAACTAGGATATTTTTACATATCTTCAATTCAATTTCAATTTCAATATATTTAAGACAAGAGGCCCAAGGCCCGG